AGAGAAAAAATTGTCTTTCCCCAAGAATAATAGCAAAACTTTCAATTTCTTTGAACGTATTATTCATGTGGATATTTGGGAGAGTTGATACCTCTATTATTGGTTTTAAATATTTTTTAACGGTTGTAGATGATTTCACTAATTTTACTTGGATTCATCTCTTAAAAGTAAGATCGGATGTTAAAATTATTTTCCTATCTTTCATTCACTTAATTGAAAATCAATTTATCTTAAAAATAAAAAAAGAATTACCAATAACAAATAATTTTTCGTACTTGATTTTTATTCCACTAAAGACATTTTCATAAAACTTCAATATAAAACTTTATGAGTTAAATTCTCCAAATTATTTCTAATCTTTTATTGTTAAACATGACATTCATATCATGAATAGCCTTCTCGTCTCTTTTCTACCATTTAAATCATCTTATAAATTAGTACACGACCTATTCATATCTTAAATCATTTACTGAGTTCTTTGAATGTTTAGCATATGCTACTAGTATTACTGCTGGGAGAACCACACTTGACAAACGTGTCACTAAAATTGTTTATTTGGGCTTGAAGCCAGGAACCAAAGGCTAATTATTTTATCCGACAAAGTTATCACCACAACATCTAGCACCCTGATGAAACAAAAAAAAAAACTAATTTAGAAACATGTATAACAAACTAACTTAATGTTTTTAAAGCCCAAACAAAAGGGCCTCTATGAGCCCAATTGCATCATCTGCATCAAGAACCAGAGAAAGAACGTTTTTAGTGACGAGCACGACGCAGCCAGGTTTCACAATCCTAAATTGCTGACATCTTAGAAGCATTAACTAAAACTTTTTAAAAATACTTATTGGAAAAGTAAGAAAAAAATAATATTTATTCTTATTTATCTCTTTTAAAAAATACTTTTGAGCATCAAAATGTATTTTAGGAGAGTCTTATCATCACTATGATTATCAATATAATATATTATATAAATATATGAAGAAATTATATAATACAAGGACAAAAACTCAATAAATTATATATTTATTAAAAAATTGCATTATACTGACATGTGATGGAGATAAAAAAATTATAGGGTCTACATGAATCCAGAAAAAAAATATAGTAGAGAACACATAAGTTTTAAATTTTATTAATAAAATATTAACAATACACCTAACACATTTTTATAAATTGTTTGTTTTTTTATAAAAAAAATCACACAAAAATTGAGTTTTACGTCATCTTCAAAATTTACTTTTAAGTTGTCATCAAAATTGACTTCAGGTCCATAAATATGTTACAAGTTATACATAAAGATAGAAGAAGTGACATTTTGCACCAAAATAAAAAGCAAAAGTACTTGTAATAAAGTATCATTATAACAAAAGTATAAACGGTTTTGTTTACAAAAGACATGTTATTTTTCTAGAGCATTATTAGTTTGCTAATCCTCTTCATTCAACTTACATTTAATTGGGTGAGTTTTATATTTGAGTCCTCAAAAGATAGTCATTAAAAGGCATGAGATTTTTTAAGAGAACTTCAAACTTGCTTTAATTGATGTTTCGATTAAAGTCCACCTTTTAATAGTGCTTTATACAATTATTTATCTTTATTTTACACGAACAAACTTTATATATATATATATATATATATATATATATATATATATATATATATATATATATATATATATGATAGAAAAGACTATGTAAATTAATTTAACATCAATTTAGTTTCTTCTATCGTATTATGTAATAATGTTGTCTGTATCATCTTACGAAGAAACAAAATTTATGTCGATTTAAATTTTGAGGGACTCGACTGGAACTCTTAATGATATACGGCCTCGTAACAATGTTTATCTAAAAGGGACTAAATTGATGTTAATTTAAAATTTAAAGAACCTAACAGTAGCTTTTGATTATACAGAGATTAAATTAAATAAATCATATAAATATAATGAAAAAAAATGAAATTAATATAATTTTATTAAGGTAAAGATATGTTGTATCATGTTTAGTTGGTTTTTGCAGTTTTTTTTTCTAAAAATAATTGTCAATAAATGAAATTATTATAGTTATTATTATTTATCAAGTGAAGGTTGGTGCTATTCAAAAATATAATTTATAATTTTAAAATATATTTTATATTAAAATTAAAAAAATTTACTCAAATAACTTCAACCTTCTAAGCAAACCTTACGTCTTCCAAAGAAAGATGGCGCGAAGTGTGGCTTAGATATAAAACCTAGTTTTTTTTTTTTTTTTTTATCACTTTCATATATTTTGGACCAAAGACTCAAACTAGATATTGTACAATATAATAACGTTTTATCATCTCAAATGAATTATTGTTTGAACAAGTTTATCTGAAAATTCCTTTCAGAAAAAAAAAAAAAAACTTTTAAACAAACATCTTTTTGCTTTTGGAGGGGCGTAAAATAATTCTCTTAAGCTGATATCATATTTCTAAAATATGTATTACCCTTTAACGTTTATATTTTTAATTATACATAATACATCAAAATTATATTTTTTAAGCATGCATACACTTTAACTTTAATTTAACAAATTACCTAAATCTAGTACACTAAACATAATTAAAGATGAAAATCTTCATCAGATATAGATAAAGTAGTGACAAATTATTCAAATATCAATGTCTGGTATAACATTTTATAAATAAGTGATATATATGTATATATATTAGTTCTCTAAATAAGTTTTGTTCATCATGATTTTTTTTTTTTTAAGTTTATTCTCCATTTCATTATTTTAATTTTAATGTCTATAAAATTGATTTTTTTTATATATTTTATTTTTCATTTTAATTTTTATTATTTTTCAAATATCAAGCTTATTCAACCTCTGGTAATCGCGTATTACTTGGCAGGAAATTATGATTTACAGAACTAAGTTGGATTATTTTTTTTAATAGAAACACAGATAAAATAAACTTACCCAAAAAAAAAAAATCTTAACCAACTAAAGTTTTATTTGAAGAAAAGAAAAAATATGAAACATAACTTGACCAATATATATTTTTTCTTTAATACCCACCAAGTGCAATTTTTTTTCCTTCAAACAGTATTATGACAAATGTACATTATAAAATAAAAATTGTGTATTGCAAGTAAGGAATAACAAAAAAACAACAAACATAAAATTTACTATAATATTTTTGTATTAGTTATCTTGTTATAATCCACGTTAGTATTGTTATATAATATTATATTGTACTTACAAACGCAACACTGTAGCAAATAAATAATATATCAAAAGTTTGGTTCTTCGTCCGAAAAAAAGCATATAAAAAGAGCAATCAGCCAAACAAAACATGATAAGAGATGGTATGAATAAAAAGAAGAGATGGTAAATATTTTTTAAAATTTGAATATCTTATACTTTTGAAAAACGATTCTCTATGAATATTAAAAATTTATATATTTATTATGCTTGTATACCACTTTTTTTAATATTTTAAAATAAAACGAATAGTGAAATAGTTCTTTAGTGTGACGTCTCTTGTCCAAGTTTTGACCAATGAAAGGAATGCTATAAATTTGAATTAAGTTTTTTTATTTTTTATTTTTTCGAAAATTGAAATGAACGACGTTAGTATATCCAAGTGACACTTGTTGGGCTCATAGAATGTTATGTCACGTGAGATCACATGGGCCAGTGAGTACACGTGTTACCCAATGCGGAACTTCTCGTGGGCTGGGGCACTTTTTCCGAAGTGAACTCATGTAGATGCGCTGCATGTGCATGGAAATATGGGTCCACAAGCATTGCTAATTTATAGCAGCTTTGTGGCAAAGATAAGAAAGATAGTACAGAATCCATCTATATTATAGTGTTTTTTTTTTTTAATTAAATTTTTAAATATTTTTTTTACTATCAGGCTCAAATTAAATAAAACAAACTGATAATGAGGTTAAAATGTAATAAAATAATATTAATACAAATAACTTATTTTATTTTATTTATTTTTGTCCTTTGAGATAAGGCTAACAAATTATTATCGAGATTACTAATAAGATTATGACGGAACACAAAATAATGATAACATATATATTTAATAAAAAAAAACTAAACAAATCACTGGCAAGAGCACAGTACAAGAAAAGAGATAATCCTTATCCTGGTTGATTCACTGTTGGAAATCTGTTTCTAAATTGACTTTTTCAACCCATTTTGTCTGTATTTCATACAAAACCATTTTCACTGGAAAACCATTGGAGAACATGGGATTCATGTAACCTGAAAAAGAAAATGAAATTGTCTAGTGCTTGGTAGTTGGCATTCTATATGTTCATATAATGCAGAGACGATAAAATGAATTTGTCCCTTAATACCTGTGATTAAGCATTTGCGAAAAAACAATTAACAAACACAGAATACAAAACACAAAGTCTTGTCATTTGTTGACAATACTATGTTGCTTTCCGGGTTCACATGATTGAAAAAAGTAGATGAATACTTGTAAATTACACTATGCATTTTGTAAAGTATTCAGCTACTTCCCGTGAATTTAATTAAAACCTTTGAATCCTATCAATTTATTCCTTCTTTCATTTAACTATAATCTCCAAAGTAAAATTTAAGCAGTTAATAAAAAAATTAAATTTTATTGTATTCATTACAAAATTTAAAGATGCCTTTTCGTGTGAATGATTTTATGTAAAAAAAAAAAAAGAGAAAAACACTATCAAATTTTGATATACAAAAGATATTAAAACTTGTATCAGTAATAAATAGTGTTTTTTTACCATTCATCGGTAATAATAGTTAAATATATAATTGCTCCAGGAGTGCTCGTAGATCCAGACGCGTGTCGTAATCCAGTGCTCCTTTTGGTCAACCTTTCAGCGCATTAACGGCCAATATTTGATCAAAAAGTGCGTATAGCGATCACCATTCATCAGCATATAAAGAGGGTTCGTTCAACAATTTAAGATGTGAGAGGTGATCGCTCTTTCCACAGTCAACCTTCTCAGACTTATCTAAACTATGAGAATTTCTCTCGTACGAACCGGATCGCTGCCGATCCAGAATCCGGTTCTCCATGGTTCACCTCGATTTTCTCTCAAGCGCCAAGCCTCTTCCGGCGGCGACAAGAACCACGGGAAATTTTTCACGATTTCAATGCACTATTCCCACTCCAACGCCGGCGGGGACGCGCCGCAGAATTGGTTCAACAGAGCCTCGTCGGAACGTGCTTCCGAGAATTCCGGCGTTCTCCGAAATCTGAATCGCACCGGATCGCGCTCGCTCCCGCCGATTATACCTGACGAAGAACAATTCCTATCCGACGACAATATACGCAAGCCCAGTTACGTCGGGATCCTACCGGAGGATCTGGAATCTGGGGGCAACGACGGTGGAGATCACGGCGGCGAAAATCTCACCGGCGGAAACGGCGGCGAGATGATGAAAATAGACGCGTACTACGAGGAGATGTTGAAGTCGAACCCGACGAACGCGCTTCTGCTGAGAAACTACGGCAAATTTCTGCACGAGGTGCGTGAAACGTTCCACAAACAAAGCAGGACCATTGATTAGTTCAAAGAAAAAAAAAAGTCAAAGATTTTAATTTTAACGGATGATGCAGGTGGAGAAAGACACGGCGAGAGCAGAGGAATATTACGGAAGAGCGATTCTGGCGAACCCTGGCGATGGCGAATTGCTTTCGCTGTACGGAACGCTAATATGGGAAACTCAGAGAGACGAAGCGAGAGCTAAATCCTACTTTGACCAAGCAATTCACGCCGCTCCTAATGATTGGTATAATCTTAATCTCATTTACCCCATAGCCAACAAACAGAGAATAACGAAAATAACAATATTATATTATTATTCAATAATTGATTTATTTAATGTGCAGCACGGTGCTGGGATCGTACGCTCTCTTCATGTGGGAAGCGGAGGAGGAAGAGGAAGATAACGGAGTGACGGATAAAACGGGGACGAAGATGATTGCCGCTGTCTAATAATGTAGTTAGGGGGTTTGGGAGTGCCACCTGTTTTTTAGTATATATTTCTAACTAGCGTTGAATCTGAAGGTTACGTTACACGGAAGCAATAAATGGTGATGGTGTCGTTTGCTTGATTTGTCTAACTGTAAGCTACAAAAAAAGACCATACACCGGAAGATGAGTGACTGACCTGAGAGTGATACCTCTCTCTGTCTTTTTCGTTCCTTCTACTCGCTGTAACATGTAACTTTTTTGTGCATGTAACTATATGCGTTTTTGTTTTTGTTTTTACATTTATCGTATAAAATCAACGGAGTTGTAAATTTTTTTTTTTTTCATCCACTGCTAATTTTCCTCATCAGTTCTGGTTTGCTATTAATTCACTGCATTGCTTGTTGATAAGACGTTCTTGTTGCTCCGGACTTCATAAGCCTAAATCGAATCCTAGTTTCTAATCCCAAAGGAGCTTTTTGTTTTCAATGTTTAGTAGCTACATCCAATCTTCCATGTTAAAATTTGTTGTCCGAACTCTGAAATTCGTTACTGAATCTAGTGTTCTCTTTCTGTGATGTGTTTAAAATAAGTGTATTTTTTATTTTTTTTCAGTTAGATTTAAAAATAAGTTTTGCCTAATCAGTTTCATCAATGTGTCTTTCGCCAGCCATTGTCTCTGAATTGAGTTCTTCAAATCATCTGTACCAGAACACTTGAGATTAATCTTGCGCAGAAGAAACCTTTGAATGTTTCATGGACAAATTGGAAAGTATTTCTCCAATCACGTGCGAAACAGTTACTCCTGATGTACGTCTCGATCGGTGATGCCGTTACTCCTTGGTTGTGGAAATGTCTGAAATGTGTTAAACTTACACTGGAGGGAAAGCATGGATTTTGCCGTTAAGAAAAGATAGTTAGATGCAGCAGAAAATAGCTAATAAGATTTCAACACGAATTTACTCAGGTTGTGGTAGCATGATATTGATACCTAACCTCTTCTGTTTTGTACATATTTAGCGTGAGTAATTGCAACTTGCGAGTCCCTTCTTTTTGTTCACACCGGTGGCCTGAGACGACTTATTCACGAATTTATACCCACAAAGTCAGCCCACAGAGTTAGCAAGTACAAATCCAAACTAATTTTGGATTAGGCTTTGAAGCTACTTGGCTAAGATAGGGACAGCTACATGCCTATCAACTATAAAGTAATAATAAAGATAATATTGGACCTACCTTTTCTACAATTGAACACACAACATCAAGTATTTTAATACGACCATGCTGATCTTTCAGAGAAAATATCTGCCCCCATTCAGCTCCCCTTTCATCACAGTAGATTAATTATACGACCATGCTATTGCTCACTCACCTTCTCATGTTACCCAACAATAAAAATCAGCTCTCCTTTCGTTGTACGTTATCTATATTTTTGGGTCCATTCAACGAATAAGGATAGAGAGAATAAATAAAGTAAGAGAAATGTCATTCAATCTTGAAACTAATATATTTTATATTAAATATCTTTCAAACAGTTGATCACTTCAACTTATTGTCATGCATTGCTTGACGGTGGAGGACGGTATATTCTAAAAAGTTATGCAGACATGGAGTAAAGTATAAGATGTTAAGTAAAGGGAATGAGATTAAATTCAACTACGTAGTTATAACATCTCCAATAAAATTCTGATAGGTGAGTATTTAAGTAAAACACTAATTATTTTAACTTTTTTTTAAGAAAATTGTTCAAATATTTTTTTTAAATTACTTTATTAAGTAATTCATAAAATAAATACAAAAAGAGAATGATTTTTTTTTAAAATATATCAAAATAAAATCAACAATAAATTACTTAAAAGTATATAATGTAATATTTTATATTTTTTAAAATAAAAAATACCTCATATATTGATATAATAATTAACGCATTGTTTACAAATATTTTTTATATATAACCATTATAGCATGTTATGAGGTGAATGAAATGGTTTCTATCATATAGGAATAAATTCTGCCTTGTAGAGGAGGGATTTGTGTTTTTTAAGATGTTATTTTAAGTGTTTTTTTTTTCTCACGTTAACTTCTAATTTGCATATTTTATTCTTCTTTTATTTTTGACCTATCAACTAAAATTTTCTTATACCCCATTCTACACAAGATAATATTTTATTATAATTTTCTTTTTATTTGACTTATTCTGTTCGTAATACAATTAATTACATTGTGGCTGCATTGGTTACCTTAGTGAAGGCATTGGTTTATATGTAATTTTATTTTTAAGAATGAGATGGCATTGTGAGGACCATAAAACATAACGTTTAATGCACCACAAACCCAACTGAGTTTATTCCATAGGAGATGGGATAAGGACATGTACACTGAGAGTAATTCGTATCAAGTGTTTTTTTCTTTTTTTTTTTCTTCAAAAATATAAAGTATAGATTTATTTTATTTAATTATTTTTAAATAATTTATTATTGATTTTATTTCAATAACCTTTTTTAATAAATTAAAAAAAAAAACTTTTTTTCTTATATTCTTTCTCTTTATTTATTTTATTATTGTAAATTGATCAATGAAATAATTATTCTAAATAGTTAAGTAACTTACATAAACACGGAGTTGAAAATTTTAGAGGTGAGAGTTATTGTATAAAAATTAATTATAATATAAAAATAAATATATTATACATAATATTATTAATTAAATTTAAATTTTGAAATTAGAGTTTATTTTTTCATTAATTTGTTGTTTTTTTAAATAATTTTTAATTTTTTTAAGAAATTTTTAAAATTTAATCTGCATTTTTTATTTAGTTAACATTTTGATATTAAAAAGAATATCACAAAATATTAAAATAACAAATTAATTAATAATAATTAAAAAATATATTAATATTTCATATTTTTATACTATATTACATATTAATTTGTTAAAAAAATTAATAAAGAAAATATTTTTGATTAAGATTATTTATTTCAAGAAAAATAATACACTAGATTTATCCTTTATTTTAAAAGGAACAAAAAATACAAAGTTATATTTTTATTCTATAAGATGAAATTATAAAAAAATATATATGAAAACTAAAGTGCCAAATTTACAAAGTTTATGTTGTAAGTGAAACCTAAGAAAATATTATGAATACGAATGAATGACAAAGGAAAAAGATAAAAAGTTAAAAATGAAAAAATATAAGAAAAAAATTAAAATAAAAAATAAAGTGTAAATAAAAAATTAATAAGACAATAAGAATGGTATTTTTTATAATTTTTCATTTTAATAATATTTATAAAAAAAAATTATTTATTTAAATATTATATATATCAAAATTCTCCCATGAATATTGTTTGTAGTATAATGCTTCAATATAATAAACTCATAAATTATTGTTTACCTTCAAAGTTATAAAATAAAAATTTATAGCAGCGTATCATTCTTATATAATTTATTATTGATTTCACTTCATTAATTTTTTTCTTGCAAATTTTTAGAAGAATTTATTATTTTCCCATTTTTTTCTCCCTGTTTATTTTATTTTAATTCTTTTCATATCATTAATAACTATTAAATAAATTAATACAATTTATCATGTATATACAATTCTTTATATAAAAAATTACTTTAAATAATTAATATTTTATTTTATTTAAATATATCAATAAATAATTTTCGTTTACATACTCAGATATCTTTCAAAACAAAATCTAATGCGAGATCATTCCAATAATCTTTCATACACTGTTTTCAAATGACAAAATAAATTCCAAATTTCAATTTCTCAACCATCATATATAGCAGGAAGAGTCTATCCTTAAGCCCCTAATAATTTTTCTCATTATTACTCTAAAAAAAAAGTTCAGCCACACAAAAATTATTTTTAACATTAATGATGTTAAATTTATCCATAAAAAATAAATTTCTTTCCAAATTCTTCTTCACCTGACACAATTCACTACCTGATATTTTAACTGGGAACATATTTTTATATGGTTCACACAATTCACCAATCTAGATAAACAATTTGAAGTGAAATCCACTATTTCAACTTAATTTAGGAGTTTACTTGCCTTCCAAATATCCTGTCACCAAAAAGTTAAGGTGAAAGATACATGTTATTATTACACTCATTCAAAATATAATGATTGAATTATAATCATTCATAAAATAAAATAGATAAACTAAAAGTAATATATTTTTTATGTAATAAATAAATTAAATATATTATGAACAAATGATATGTCAATAATTTTTATACCATTTATAATGTTTTCATTTGTTTGATTTTAACTTCTTAAGTAGTAATTCATATTAAATATTACAATAGTTTTTTATCAGTTTTTTTTTTGTTTTTTTAAGTTTTCATTTATTAATCTTTGTTGTAGTAATTAAAATAGTTTATTTGAACACTAAGTATTTATAGTTAACTTTTTCTAACAATTTGTTTAGTTTTTTTTTATTTTTTAAAATTGTATTAATATATTATTTCAATATCTTTATTTTTAATTATATATATATATATATATATATTTTTTTTTAAAACGCCATATCACGATATAAATTATTTATCATAAATATATAATATATTTTTTATATTCTTAAATATTTTTCTATTATAAAATATAATATACTATATTCTGACATTTTGATTTTAAAAAAATGTAAGCATATAAAATAAATATTTATTTTGCACAGTTTACAAACTAAAATACTAGTTTTAATGATACTATTAATAATATTAATGTTCTGTTATTTAATTTTTAATTTTGTTTGTGCGAGCAAATATATTTGAAGTTTCCTACCTAGCAGATGCGTTTACCTCCCCTCCCTCCACCGTTCACCTATTTTAGGGTTTCTTCCAAAACTCTATTCTTTCTGGAGCAAATTCTTCACTGATATCCCATTCCTTCTTCCCAATCCAATTCACCCACCAATGGGCAAGAAGAAACCTAAGGACCTGCAGCAAACCCCTCAAACCGATACCGTTTCAACCCCTTCCAGCATTTTCAGCAAGCTCTTCGGCAACGCGCCGGAACAGGCCACTGCAGCCAACCCCACAGGCGCCGCCTCTCTATTTTCCGATGACAACCCCTTTCGGAGAAAACCCGCACCACTTTCCGATACAACCAACCACTCTCACATCCCTTTCAACGGCGACGCCGAGAACCTCGATGTGGGCTACGAGAAGAAGCGGAAGAGGAACAAAGAAAAAAGCCCAGTCCTTGATTCTGTTTCAGTAACCAAAGTTTCAGAGAAATCAGAGAAGAAGAGGAAACGCGGTTTCGGTGAAGGAAGAGAAGGAGACCTTACTTTGGGTGCAGAAGCAATTGGGAAAAGGAAGCGAAAAAGGGACGATGTTGAGAGAGAGTGGGAGGAAAAGAGATATGGGGCGGTGGAGGAAGGTGAAAAGGGAGAGATTGAAAATAAAACTGTTGGGAGCAAGAGGAAGACGTTGGATGATCCAGCTGATACGATGGTTTCAAAGGAGGGATTTGATGACGAGGATAAGCTTTTGAGAACAGTTTTTGTTGGGAATTTGCCTCTTAAGGTTAAAAAGAAGACTCTGTTGAAGGAATTTAAGAAGTTTGGTGAGGTCGAGTCTGTGAGGATTCGTTCTGTTCCCGTACAAGATGTAGGTTTTACTCTTCTCGTGTGTGAGTGTGTTTTGTACTGTTGAGGTTTTAGTTTTTTTTTTTTTTTGGGATGATAACTTCATTCGTGTGTGTTCTTATTTCGTGGTGAACCAGACTAAGAAACCTAGAAAGGGAGCTATCCTTGCGAAGAAAATTAATGATGCTGCTGATAGGTAATGGTTCTGAATTGAATTATTGATCAGTATATTGTTGATCGTTTATGGAGAATGCCGTCATTTTGTTTCTGTCATTTGTTTTGAAAATGTTCCAGGGATTCAGTAGAAAGATAAAAATCTTGTTTGTTTTGGGAAGACTTGGAGAAATCATCATGTTTTGTTTTTATTTATTTATTTCATTCTAAGGAAAAGTATAAAGACTCTTTTCATGCATTTTATTTTGCGCAGTGTGCACGCATACATTGTTTTCAAAACCGAAGAATCGGCACAGGCTTCTTTGTCACACAATATGTCACTGGTATGCCCTTGGTTCTCAAAGTTGAGTTCTATTGGATAACATATTGTGTTTTACATCGCATTTCTATTTTTTGGAATGTTTGCAGTTGACTTTTTTTAAATTTTATTGTGTATTCATCTGGCCATAGGTTGAAGGAAATCACATTCGTGTTGATAGAGCATGCCCACCCCGCAAGAAACATAAAGGGGAAAGCGTTCCTCTTTATGACAATAAGCGAACTGTTTTTGTGGGCAACCTTCCATTTGATGTGAAGGTGTGTTTCGAATAGATAATTTTATATGAGGTGAACAAATTGTGTCGTTGTTGTCTAATGGATCTATCATGTGATCCTTTTGTACAGGATGAAGAGGTTTATCAGTTATTTTGTGGTATATCCAACCTGGAATCAAGTGTCGAAGCTGTCAGAGTTGTTCGAGATCCTCATCTTAATGTTGGAAAGGGTATTGCTTACGTGCTATTTAAAACAAAGGTATATATTCAGGTGCCTGAATAGTGTGCATTTTCATATAATTTCTTACTGTACGCCCCTTTCATATTTAGTTCAAGTATTCTATAGATGATGTTATCACGTGCATTACTTTTGATGGTGAAATTACTGGGGTATTTGTGGTTGAAAATTCCCTAAAGACCTAATTTTTTCTTGAAATAACAATTTTATTTGTCTGATTCCCTTTAAAATTGCTTGCTATGTATTTGTGAAAAAGAAGATATTTCTTGTGCTTAAATGTGGATCATATGGATTAAAATGGGCATTTGATTGCCATGTTTTGATTGTTTGTTTACCTACTTTCGTGTTGTGTTAGCTGCTTCATATTTTGTAGCACGTCTTTTGTGTAACTAGATACATTTCATTTTCAAAAGTTACCGTGGTTCAATGATTTTAGTATTACTTAGAATTAGAGACTGATATGTGTATCATAGTTGGTGATACTTTTAGTATTACTGTTCATCTGCTGTTGCAGTGCTTTGAGGTATCAGGAAAATATTAGATATTGTCCCTTCTATCCTGGAAAACTATGGCCCTTGCTGCTGCTACCTCTATTCTTTCACAGGGAAAAATCCCACATTTACCATCTTGCTTGTTTTAATGCATCATTTAAGAAGCCATTTTAAGGTAATTTTGCCATTGCCTGATGTTTATCAGAAAAAAATTGTGAGGTTATGATCTGAGAAACCAAACATCTTGCTTACACTGAACCAGTTCTGGCAGTGTTTCTGGGCTATTTGCAGCACTATGGATAGGTGTTGTCTTTGACCAAACCTCTTTTTATGTGTGACTCCACAATTTTGTTTTGTCTGTTCATGTGCTCAGCTATGCAGAGAGAGTTTTCTGTTCCTGCCCTCCCCCCAAGCATCTCTGATGTGTTTTCTGAGAGGGACGGTAGTCTCAACTGTTCTATTTTCTTGAACTGTTTCCCTACTTTTATAAGTGGTCTCTGTTTTTTATTTTTTCCGCCTTTATGTTCCTTGGCATTTGTTGTTAACTTTTATAAGAGATCAACTGGTTACTTATTGCAAAATTTGCAATCTTAATACACATTCCATTTTATATAAGTTCAACTTGGGGAATGAGTGATGACCCTCGATTGGCTAGCATAATTATGAACAGGACTGCTGACCTTCTAAGCGTGATTTAGTGTATGAGTACAAAATGAGAATTTTAGGGTAGCTTATGTTCATTACTTGTGAATGAATTGTTACTTCAGTTGGATTACAGCACTAATTCTTCAAGTTTTACGAGCATAAAACCATAGTGTCGCGTTGATATTCAAAGTGTGTTTGACTGGTTATAAACTTAGACATGTTAGGTTGTTATCAAAGGTAATGCTTATTACATTCAAAATAAAGAAGTGGCATACAGAAAGTTCAACCTTCTTTCATGTCATATCCCATATGTGAATTGATTATTATTGAAGTTTTGTCTTGTAAATGCAGGAAGCTGCTAAATTTGTTGTTAAGAAAAGGAGCTTGAAGCTTCGAGACAGAGAGTTGAGACTCACTCATGCCAAAGCAGATGTCACTCCATCTAAAAGGCCAAACCCATCATCAGCACAAGCTCCTACCCCTTCTAAGAGGCCAAACACATCATCAACACAAGCTCCTGGTACTCCTGCGAAGAAATTTTCTGTGGCTTCACGCTCTCCTTCAAGCAGTATTAACAGGTCAAACCGAAAAACCAATGCATCTTATCAGGGTCTACGTGCAACCAAATCTGATGTGCACAAGAAAACTCAAGGTGTGGAGAAACCAAAAGAACGTAAGACGAAGAGACCTTCAGTGGCTGCCAGAAAGGCTAAAGCAAAATTTCACAAGGATAGTGGTGCACCAAAACAAGCAGGGGTTAAACGCAAGCTTGATAATCGTACTCCTGACGTCACCTTTCGTAATAAGAAAGTAAAAAAGAACCGGTAACTTGTTTCATGTGCCAGGGGGGATTAGTTAGTTTTTGTTAGAATTTTGCTCCGTTTGTTGGGAGCGGATGTGTAGCATGGTGGAAGATTACTCCGACAGTTCTCACTGGACTAAGTCAACTATGCACATTTGGTGGCAAATGATGAAGAATGAAGAAATTAGTGACAGGGATTTAACAGTTTCCCATCATTTTTTTTAATATGTAACTTTAGTTTATACTGTGCTTTTATTGGTAGGTTGTAGCTTCCACTGTTAGGCCTTATTAAAAGGCTTGTGGTGCATGTTCTACCTTTTGGAAGGAGCACTTCACTTTTTTTAAATTATATTGTTTTATACTTTATTATGACAATAGTCAACATAATTTAGTTTTTATCATTTTATTAGCTATTGGGCGATGGATGCGGCAGGATTATTTAGAATCACATCATGAATGAGATTATATATTTTATTTTTATTTAATTATTTCTTTCAAACATTATACTTTTATTAAATGTAATTATAATTTAGCATTATATTTTTATAATGTATTTTTTAAAACTTTCTTTTCCATTCTTACGCAATTTTAAATTAAAAAAACTTATTAATAATATAATATATTTTCTTATAAAATATTTTACTCGATTGAGTTATGCTCTTAAAACCAATTTAGTTTATTTAATTAATATTTATATTTTTATATTAAATTAATTATAATTAATAATAAATACTTAAAAAAATTTGAAGTTAAAGATAAAAAGTAACAAAAATAATTACAGCTACTAAAACAAGATAGGACAATATTTATATGATCTTAAAATATTTAATCTAATTATTTTATATCAGCTTAAATTTATAAGGAAAAGGAAAAATCAATAATAATAATAATTTTTGTATTACATATAATATTAATATATTATAATTAGTAATTCTAAACTTATAAACCATATTTTTTTCGCCTTTATAACTAAAATTCCTATTGATGATATATTAAAAATATATTTGATAATATAAAATATTACATTATTAAAGGTAATATGTAAAAAATAAATTATAAATTAAATATAATTACTTTGAATAAAAATACAATGCTAAGACTAAGTTATTGAGGAAGTAATATATATATATATATATATATATATATATATATATATATATATATATATATATATATATAATTTAAAATACTTTTTTACCTTGATTGTATTAGTTAATATATTTTATTTTTACCATTGAATTAATTGTAGTTAGTAATACGAACTAAAAAGTGAACAATTGGAAAATATAAAGAATTTAAAACTAACAAATATTATTATAAGAAATAAAAACCGATGGAACCAAATCTAAAACTTTTAGGAACTAAATTTTATCTTCTCTTAATTGAGTTAGGAAGGCATTGACCCAAAGCTTTGCCTAACCCCTCTGTAGAATAGACTGTAAACTTTTCGCAGGAGGAAAGAGAGAAATGAATAAATATGGAGCCTAATCAATTGAGCAACAAAAGGAACTTATCAACCCTTATACATGTTTTCTTTTGCAGCTATTCCAAACCCTAAAAGCTTGAGATGACGGTGTTCCAAGTGAAAGAAAGCTATACTCCAGTGACAATAAAACGTCACAATCTCATATTTGTAAAGATGTTCGAGAATCTCATATATTTATAAGCCATCTCTACATGGGACTTGTGTTTTTCCTTACTTTGTACCAGGTGTTTGTAGCAAATTTATGCAATGAAGAATGCGTTGTGTTGTGAGGATGAGTGGAAGTGGAAGACAAGATGCGTATTAAAGCTTCTAAGCAACAATTTCTTGTCGTGTCTTGCAACATGTCCCGCACTCATAACTGGCTAAAAAATGTCATTCTTATTATATTAGAATATGTAACCCTTAAAATAATGCTTATCAAAATTATGGAACCATCTTCTATTCATATTATTTTAACTGAAGTTGCTATAAACATCTATGTTAATTAATAGCATTTTTCAATCCTAGAAAATTGATTTCTCTTGTCATATTTTATTTAATCTCTCTCTCTCTCTCTCTCTTTTCTGCATTTTTTTACACAAAAAAATAGATTCCAGTCAATACAATTTGATTCTCGGAAGCGGTAATAAGTTTCTTAATTGAAGAAAATAATTATGAATTGCTTCAAGTATAAGAGATAGTAGTAGTTTAAAATTATGAGAAAGTGTGAACTTATAAAATATGGCTGGGGAGGTACGTACCATATCCTACCCGCCACCAATGCACATGGTGCATTGATTCCATGGGCGTAATATTGTAAAACGAAATACTTGGAAAGTGAATGAGTAATTGATGTGAAACCGAATGATGGGCAACATTAAGAGAAAATATTTGGTGCATGTAAACATGACAAAGCAACTACTACTCAATAAGTGAATGTTTTACACATCAACTCATGATCAATGTACATAACTAATTCAGCCAAAGGACGTTTCTTGGTACTGGCACAAATCAGACCAATAATATGCTTGTCTTGAACTACTGCAGCATTTGGAATAAATCTATTTGCAGATAATCAAAATGAAATTGTTTTTTTTTTTTCTTTTTTTGTTTAGGATATCTGTACAAATACTGAACTGATATTAGCTGTCAGGAGAACAAGGGTTTCATACACAATATTCTTGGCCCATGAAATGCTATGATTCGTTCTTGTTCATTAGGGTGGGTGTAACTGACACTACACCAATGAGGAACAAGGTAGCAATTGAGTTGAAATCATAGAGATCTGCCACGGATTTTAACTCTCCAAGAGCTAACCCAGCCTGCACAACAAAACGAGAAAATCAAATACAATCAGAGATAGTTGAAAATTTCTTTTCAAGATACTATAGTTTAATAATTAAAAAGATAAAAATCATCATAAAAAAGCATACGACCCATTAGGATAATTGGACCATTTTCAAAAGGGAAGAACTGAAGAAATTATTTAACATGTGGACTATTGAACATGAACTTTATTTCATTTCAACTGGGGAGCATTAACCCGCTGTTATAATAACAACTCACAATTTGCAGAAAATGAAGTGCAGAATCAAATAATAAGAATGACTTGTGTTGTTTGTACAATCTGTACAACATTTTTTTCCCTCTATCTCTTTCTATGCCATCTTTAATACATCTCACTATTCTCTCTCCTCTTTTTCTTTCTTTGTTGTAAAAATTGTTGTACAAATAACAATCCTAAATAGGAAATGTTATTTAGGTAAGCTACATACCTTGACAGTGACATAAGCCGCAGGTATCAGTCCAATAACAGTTGCCAAGAAGAAGATATGATAAGGCACATCCACAATTGGTGAAGCAAAATTAATAAATGTGTTGGGCAGGGTCGGAGTCAATCTCAGAAACAGCATGTAGTTCAACAAACTCTTTCTCCTTCTAGCCACCTGTGGATAGATACAAATAGAATTTTAGTTCCATGTGTAGATTGGATCAAATCCAATGGCGTGTGAAGGTAAAACAAACCTGAGTTTGGAAGAATTTCAACTTTTCAGGCCAAAGAGAAGAGAGAATTGGACGTCCAATCAGTTTAGACAGGAAGTAGCATGAAGAAGCTCCTGCTGTGGCAGTGAACACAACCAGAGCCACTCCTTTAAAAACTCCAAAGAGTGCTCCAGCAAGCAATGACATGAACACAGTTCCTGGAATCATGAAAGTCTGCATGAAAATATATACCACGCAATACCCCACCAAGACTTGTGCAGTGTAGTCACTTGTGTAGCTCTCAAGGTCATCTCTACAAAAATAAATAAAAGGTAGATAAAGCATTACACAATTATATTGTCAATTCCCCTTCTACATTCAGGACTCCAAAAAAAATAGGAGAAATTATATATTATCCACACACTGAAATGAAACGCAAGTTAATAGACTATATCAAAACATAGTAGATTCCATCATTTAACCTGCTCCCACTGCAGACCAAATGATCGAGAAAACATATATTGGGTTTGTGTCCGGTAGTCTATTTCCTTCTTCAATTAACCACCTCAAGTATTGGTATTTAAGCTCAGGTCTAACTATATCTGCATGAGTTGTGGTCAACCAATGAGGATTCGACCCTGAGACCTCCAAGTTACAAGGCATCAACAACAACAAACATATACCTTTACATCATGCTCATCCTCTCAATACAAACACTATGGAACCATGACAAAACATATCAGTTGATGTCAGTCAAGGCCACACAGCTGGAGAGTTGATTGGGGTTGCAACTTGCAACAAATTATTTATTTATTGAAGATGGAAACAAGTTTATCCAAAAAGGAAAAAGTTGATATCATGTTAGAACCTAGGACTAACTGTAAACTGCACCAAAGTGTCATAATGGAACCCTACCAGAATAGCACGTGAACCTTCAACCAATATACCCTCGCAACTTGCAGGATGCCAGTTTGTTGACTCAAAGCACAACCCTCAATTAATTAATAAATAATAACAAACCTAAAATTCTCACATATTCACTCCAATCTGCAGAATCCCTCCAAAACACATATACCCTTTTCAGATCTGCGCTTCAAACGGATAAAATAGAGAAAAAGACGAGAAAAAAAAAATTAAATAGCCAAATCCTATTGACACAGAATCCTTATGCTCAGCATTTCCCAATCACGATTTTTATTAATCGTCATGATTTGACCGAAATCACGGTTCCAGTGCAGATCTTTGCAACGGAATAAATCCGAATAGACAATTGGAATATTCATTTGAACAACAATCAAATTTGCAATAAATTAACCATCGTCAAATTGATAAAATCCCATCTTGCACCGAAAAGAAAACACTCGATAAGAAAACAGAGAAGAGGGGTGAACCCCAACAACGAAAACGAAGTAAAGGTTTTTTTTTTTCCCTGTGTTGTTTCACATTCACGTGTAAAATAAAAAAAAATGAGAATGATGGTTGGAACCTTACCGAAGGAGTTGAAGGTCTTGGAGGGTGCGGGGGAGCTTGAGGAAGCTATAATCGGAATCGGGCATGGTGAGGTACACGCCAAGAATACCCACCGCAAAAATCAACGCCACCGTTGAAGCCACCGTGGCTTCCCAAAAGCTCAACGGGAACTTGGACGGTGATGCCGCAGGTTGTTCAACCACGGTGTTTGCACCCTCCATCTCCGTCTCCCTTTCCTTCTCTTCTCTGCCTTATCTCGAGGAGAGAGAGAAAGACAAGAGCTTACAGAGACAAAGAATATTGGTGGTTGGAGGAGTATATGTGTACCCAAGTAGCCAATCAACTAACTCATATTTATATATTCTTATTATATAATATACAAAAACAAAAAAACAGATTCACACACAATTTATTATGTATTTTTATTTCCAAATAAAAACATTAGTATATGATTTTATTGTAACTGATAGATTTTTACCTTCAAAATAATCATATGATAAACAAATTTTATTTTTAATTAAAGACTATTTAAAAATAATTAAATAAATTAAAATGCTTAAGAATTGTATTTTATTTTTTTTGTATAGGAAAGGTTTCCGATAAGGGTGAAGTTTGAAGAAGGTTTTCCATTTCAAAATAACAAACAGTCATTGGTTAAGCGACGTATCTGTCGAAGAAAGGCAATGTTAAATACATTAACTGAACATTAATGGTCACGTGTAAGTTAGAGTAAAAATAAATAGAGATTTATAATAGGCAGGAGAATGACGTGGCGTGGGGTGTGGGTCCCATGCGAGACCCAAATAGTTAATCCCACATGGTACCGTTTTATTTATGTTTCATTGTTTATCATGTGGTTGGAGCAAAACATGGTACGTGAGTTAATTAAAACTGTGAGGTGAGGTGGAACGCAATAAGCACGTGGGAGGGTGAAGATGTTGAGACGGAGAAGGCGACGTCGTATTATTGGAAAGTTAATTATTGAAAAACGTCAAATGTTGTATAAGGAATGTGCTTTTCGGGTGCTTCAGGTTAACAGCTCACCCTTCTCCATCATGTTGTCTCTTGCTTTGTCGTTTTTTGAGTGCACAAATCCTCCCTTCATCTTGTCCCTTTGCTCAAACGTCGTCTTCCTCTTTCTTTCTTTAATATTTGTTGCGGTGGAAGTTATATTTTCCGAAACAATATTAACTTTACAATTTTTTATTATCATGAGATTTATTCATGAACAACAAAAACTGGATACATATGTTGAGCAAAGTTCGAAATGTTCATTTAGCTAAAAAAATTAAATAATAATGTTTCGCTTTAACTACAATTGTTTTTAATCTAATTTTTTGGGATATAACTTGTTTTGGTAATTATAGGATTTATTTGATTTTTTTAATTTTTATAAAAAAGTTTTAATAATCAACTTTTAAAATTTTATTTGAGAACAAGTTGAAAAAATATTATTTAATAATTTTAGTTTGAAAATTATTTTAAGGGTAGAGGATAATAGGGACAATGGCCAACGAGTTTTGATAAAATAGTTGGAAAAAGATTTGGATAGAAAAAAAAGAGAATATTCTACAACGGTTGATATATATATATATATATATATATATATATATATATATATATATATATATATATATATATATATATATAATTACGTAATTTTGAGAATTAAATAATATATTATTAATAAATAATAAATAAATATAAAAAGATAAAAACTCAAATTATATATATATATATATATATATAAATAGATATATTTAATAATTATTAAGTTTTGAGAATTTAAAATATAAGTTAAAATTTTTAGAAATAATTATTAAATTTAAAATTAAAATTATAAATATTAATATAAGTTTGAGAATTAATAATTCTTCATCTTTTAAGAAATTCTGAATTATATATATACAGAGGGAGGGAGAGAGAGTTAAAAAGAAAAAATTTAAAAAAAATTATTTTAATAAAAGAGTTATATAAAGACTTTGTTTGGTTTTAAAAGTTCAAAATTATTTTTAAGAACTATAAACAAACAAATCCTTAACATAACTAACGAAAAAAAAAACACTATAGGTAAGGAAAACTAATCTTCATGTAAATTTAAATTGAAGTTATAAATATAGGGTGAAATTGGATTGATGAAAATGTTTTTGCATGTCAAATTTAGGAAATTGCTTAAGAATATATTATAGGTGTTGCTTATTGGGTGAGATTGGTGAAATATTTGTGATGATTTTATGTGATTACTAAGTTGTGTTTACAGGTTGGTGATTTGAATAATTCAGTTAATCCATTAAGTTTCGTTTAATGATTTTGAAAATGGTTAATGGATAAGAAACAGTGGACTTCTATATGAGTAAATTTTATCCAAAATAATTTATAGAGAAAATGTAAATTATAAATTTTCTACATAATCTACTTGACTATATTTCAAATTTGTTTAGTGGTTTTGAGTCTAGCTAGTAGAATTAAAAAACAAAATACATTTTTTTAATTCCTTTATTAAATATTTTTACTTGAATTATATCATGTAATTGATTTAGACGAGATCAATTATGAAATGATTTTTATAAGATTTGGTGAGATAAGATTATGAGGTAATAGTTGTGTGATAGTAATGTTATAGTTATTGAGTATAATGTTTTTATTATGTTACAGACTCATCCAATCTATATTTTCATGATAATCTAAATTACATATATAAAAAATATAAAACTTATATGTATAGTATTATCTTTGAGTATAATTATTAAGTTTAATGAGTTTAATTTTACACTAGTAATATAATAATTTGTTATCGTTACATAATTAAAAAAAGATTCTATGTAGATGATTTACAATTATTTTATATATAATCTTAAATCAATTATTAAAAAATTATAATTGGGTAACAATATAATAAATTATGTTTAAGAGACTTAAAGAGGATGTAAGAAATTATTTGGTTGAAAAATATATAGTATACGTGTTGATAGATTGATTGGACCATGCAAATGTTAGGACCAATATTTATAAGCATAAGAAACTATTTAATCAATAATAAATTTGCATTAATGCAAAATAAATTAAGCATTTACATTGTTATCTAAAACAAAATATGTACCCAAAGACATAGAATAAATAAGATAAATGAAGAAATATTGATGGATTTTATTGAAGATGCTCGTTGGTGTTGATTTGGTACCCTTTCACTTTTTTTTCAATATATTTTATTCTTCACTTTTATGTGGATGTTGTGTTCATATTCAAAAAAGTTTTTTTCATCCAACCAAAAATACCACCATAACTTTTTACATAAATAAAATATGTACTTTAAAAATGTATAAATTAAGAAAAATATTTTTATACTTTATCATTATATATGAAATAATTAATTATCTTATAAAAATGTTGTGCATCTACTTAATGTACTTTTTAGATTCAAACATTGCACTGAATAGCGGAGATGTTGAATTGGATGAAAGTATCCATATTTTATATTCAAGATGTTTTCTCAAATCAAGTTATAATAACAATGGCCTCCGGTAATTATAAATTTAATTTATATTCAGATTTTTTTTAAATTTCGTTTGAAGATTATTTTTTGAAAAATTAATAAGTATAATAAATTTTATTGATTCTAATAAATATTTTTATTTTTTCATTTTATTCTTTTCATTTTCATTTTTCATTTTCTTAAATTAATTAAAGATTATATAAAAGGTATACATATAAATAATAAAAAAAGTAATTAATATTATCATAAATAATTAAGTTTATTTAATATTATTGTTTTATTTCTAATTTTTTTTAATTATATTTATTAAGAAAATATTTAAACTTAAAGAAAAATAATAGTTTTAAAATTCTAATATTAAATGAAATATACAAATATTTATTTATTTATAAATTCACAAAACTTTATTTAAATTAATAATAATATAATATTAAATTTAACTTGTTGACACATTTTCCCATAATAAAACCTAATAAATAAATAAAAATTAGTTATCACGACTTGTGAATAGGAAATAATCTATTCCATAAAAAAAAATCTATAAGTCAAAATAAGTAATCCAGTGATTTTGAATAAAGTTTTTTAGTATATTGAATAGTATAAACATCCTGGTTCTAATAGAACAATGAAATTTCTCAATCAGTATAAAAATATAGTATTATATTTTTTCTTCTTTCTTCATTTATTAGTATTATCATCATATTATAATCAAAGTTTAGAATTTAAGATTTTAACATATATAGAAAATAAAAGAAATTGAACTAATTAACTTTACCTTATATAACAAATCAAATACTTGTTTAAATAAAATTTTCTAATTAAAACTTTAATTGTATGAGAATTTTATTTACTTGAACCATGAAAAAAAAAATCCTCTGATAAAATATTAATCGCTTGATCGATGAATCCATGCCTTAACAATATTTTATTTGATCTCTGGTTCTTTTTACTCAAATGAAAAACATCATCGTTTAAGTGATGCTAAAAAATTTAAACGATAAATTAAAAAAAAATCAATAACAAATAAGTTATTCAAGTTATATATTAAAACTTAAAAGAAATATAAAATTATCAAATAAAATATAAGGTTAAAAAATTCCAATACCATTATTCCCTAATTTTTTATACACCTTTTAATCTATGTCTTTGGTTTCACGATTTCATAAACATAGAACATTGTAGTTCAATCAATAAATCAAATTTAATTTGTAAAGTTCTAATTTTGAATAAAATAGTTTTTATCATAACAACAGTACAAACTATAAACACTCAATCAAGTTCATAAATGAAGGAGATAGTGAATCTCATAATCCTAACACATAGAACCTAATTTTAAATTTAAGTCAAGGTACCTAAGTTCTAAAATGATATTAAGTTAATTTCTATTAGGTAGCTCTCAAACCTAATTTCTAAAATGATATTAAGTTAATTTCTATTAAGACTTAGAAGGAATCATCTTTTTCTTTGCATGCACTAAGAGAAGTTTAATTTTTAAAGAGCAAATAAAAAATTACCTGGAATAAAGCTCTCGATAGTTGATCTATTTTATTTTACGTTAACTGATTTTAAATTTACTTTTAAATAAATCCTAGCTCGAGGTATAAAAAAGAGAGATAAATAAACTCATAAGCTTTTAAAGAAAAATCAGATAATTTTTTTTAGTGAGATAATGAATCAAGATAAATGAATAATATTTTTTTCTATATTTATAACCTTTAAAAATCAATT